TTGACTTGATTCTCTGCACTCAGTATTGTTTTTCTTCATGTCATCTGCCTTCATTTTTCCATGATGCAAGGGCTGAAAACAATCAGTATTTTAAGAAACTATAAGGCTTATCACTGCACACTCAGTTTAAAACAAATGAAAGAATAACAATAAAACACATCTCGCTTGCAACACAAAAAGATGTGAGACTTCAAATTAGAGAAGACGTGTTCACTTCAGAAGTATACTTGTGTTAGGGATGTGGTCTCTTATTTATGAAGTTGATGTCAATACAGTAAGACTACTCTGAAACTTTTCTTAGTAGATGATTAATATTTACAGAAGTTTACTTCAACTTCCAGTGGAGAAGACTGTATAGATGTACCAGGAAAATTTGCCTTGTCTAGACTTAGACTTTGTTTATGAGACAGCACTTGTTCATTTTGCACTAGCTAATGCAATTAGCTAATGCTTACTGTACTGAGATTCCTGTCATTAGCTTCAGGAACTTTTGCTCAAGAAAGATACGGGTAAAGCTGAAAACAAGAAGCCATGGAACAATGTTGAGAATCAGTAAAAGAATAAGTAGAGAGAAGTAAAAAAGCAGCACATTGAAACTTTCTTTATGCTCTCAGGATCTGTCATCTTTTGGAAAAATCCTTGAAATTAGGCATGCAAGTTAAAACAATGTCAGTTAAAAGTCTTTTAGTGAACACAGTTATGCATAATTTAAGAACATGTGAAAACTGCAATTTCCCATTACTTCCTTGTTTTGCTTAAATATTTAAATTCATCTGTATTTTTATATCTTTCTACCTGTGAGGAATAACTTGTTTCCAGTTGGCAACTTAGTCATTGGTACATGAATGAAGGTAGAAGTGTGTTCCTTGTAGAGCTTTAGATACTGTCTGTTGGAGTAGTAACTCACAGAAAGAAGGTGGAAGAAGACAACTTTAAAGCTCATTAAGGTAAACTAGTAACTGTTCAAACTGTACACCACATGAGCATAGCTTGGTATTCAAGTACTGTCAAATTAAGCGTATTCCCTTACGTTCTTTTTTTTTTTTTTTTTTTTAATGACAGGGACTGAATTTAACTCCTGAAAAAAAGATGAACTAAAGATTTCCACACTACGTGTAGCTCAGTAGTGTGTGTAATAATAATACAGAAATACTGAACGTTGTAACTTGCATAATTTGTTTCTTAAATATCTTTGCTAGAGTTGAAAAGGGAAAAAGGAATATTTCTCTTCTGGTATTGATATAACTTGTGATTTTGGAATAACTTTTTTTTATAAAACAGTAGTTGTGGATTCATTTTGTTGGAACAGTGGAAATAAATGTCTACTGTAGGCAGATTGTCTAGGTTTTGATTACTTACGTGTTTGTACTGTGTGAAGTATATGCTTGCTTGTTTGCTTCTAGTCTTGCTGTAAGGATTAGGTCATTTTACATGAATAAACTGGTTATACAGTTTAGTGACCTAAAATACTTCTGGACAGAAACCTCAGTGCTGTAAAATGTTGTGTAATGGACCATGGCTCAACTAAGCTATATTATGTTGGAGCTTTGAGTTCATAATGATAACCTCACTTAAACTTAGTTGATAATAATTAATTTGGAGGCACGTGATTATAGGAAGTGTCTTAGAAATTGTAAATGATTAGTGCAAGTGAGTAGAGGGACAAAACAGAATTATTTCTCCTGCCTCTTCCCCCTCCTTCAGAAATAAATGTGCTAGATGGAGGCTGTATCCTTTAGAGTTTGTGAGATTTGAGAAGTTAAACAGAAAATCTTGAAAAAAAAAAAAAATATATTCCTAGAAACAGTTTATGTAAATTTTAAAGACACAAAAGTGAAAAGTGGAAGAGAATTTTTAAGTTGTCCTCCTTTCTGCCCAGGCTAATACTTGTAACTGTGTAATGTTGTAAATTGCATCTTATGGATTAGCTGGCAGTGGAAGAAGGTATGTTGTTCTTGGCTCTCTTCATTTACATGCCTTTCCTAAAGGTGTGTTTCTGCATGACTTGAGGAGTCTTAGACTGTTTTATATCTATAGAACTGCCTGCAAGTGGGGATATATGAAGAGTAAATAGACTTATTAGGTTATGAGACTCTGGGAGCCAAACTGCTGATAGTCTCTTTGAAAGTTGCTGTTTGCTGAGTACAAGAGCATCTGTTGAAATTCTTGATCAGACTTGCTGAAATACAGGAGAGTGGGAGGAAATAAGATCAAGAACAATAACAACAATAGAAAAAAAATCTCCCACATCCAAACCCAGCAAAAGGCTCCCTGGGATCTTGATCAGTTGAAAAAAGCCTGCAAGTTCTCAGTGGATCAAGAAGCTAGCAGCTTCAAATTCCATCTGTAATTATTTATACAGTTGCAGAAGTAAACTGTCTTTTAAAACTATAGTCTAGAAATAAATGGTTATGAGAGGACAGTACATGGGCTGTATAACTCTTAAGGCAGAAGTTGTATTGGGACATCAAAATAAAGTAGTAATTCCAGCATGTGACTTGAGACATAGTAAGTCAGGCAGATTTCAGTGTGCTTTTTATATATGATTCCTGAAAATTAACTCTTTTTATAGAACCTATCCAACATGCACGTTATTTTCCTCATAAAGGATAGTTACAAGAAATAGAGCTTACTATTAAAAGGTCAGTAAAACTCAAGATGCTGTTTTCAAGTGAGATCTGATGCCTTGCATATGAGCTGTGTTCCACCCCGAGTAGAGGAAAGCAGAGGGAGTAGCACATCTCTCTGCTCTAAAGTTTTGGGAGAAGTACAAGAACTGCTATGAAAGTAATGCCTCCTGTTTTATTATGTTGGCCCACAACATCTAGCAGCTTATTTTGGTGGTATGGCAGTAGAGGATGAAACTTCCTGACAGCATTCCATCGTATTTTGGCAGCGGTGGGGCAGTGTGACAGAATGGCATCATTGAGTGGGTTGTTGTGATGGTTATAGCACCTTCTCTTAGCTAATTAAGGGATTGGTCTTCTGTTGTGAACTTTTATACGTTGACTAAGTATTTTGTAGGAGTTGGGACAAATACATATGTATTATTTATTTTTTCTAAACTATGTTCAAATTCTAGGCTGTTTACTTTTTACAGATAAGTAAGAGTAATGGTCAGTTACTTTTTACAGGTACTGATAGAGTAGTATATAGGTTCATAACTGTCTTTTTTTTGCTTATGTGGAGAGTTCAAGTAGTACCAGAAATTAGAAGTTGTTTATCTTGGATTCTAGAGATGAAATTAATTTGTTTGCTTCCTCTTACAGCACAATAGGATTGTAGGACTACTAGGACTGTAGTCCAGGCTTGTGGGTGTGTAACATGCACTTCAAACTATGGCCTCAAAAAGAGCTGAATAGCCACTCTTGTACCTTTGAACTTCTTGGCTTTCGTTGCAAAGCTGTGAAATTCCTTCATTATTAGTTCTGTGGCTCACTTGTTTAGGACATTAAATATGAATAAGATATGATTTGTTTTACGCTTTAGTGTGATGCATTGTTCCAGTGTGTCTTTCTTAGTTAGTTTGCCATAATTGTAGAAACACAAAGCAGCAAAGTTAAGTGTTATATACCTTCTATGGGTTATATATTGCTTTTGTTCCTGTTTTTTCTCCCCCTAATCTTCCACGTAATTGTCGCTCATGTAAAAGAAAAATTAGCTTTAGAAACAGATTGAAATGAGACAATACTTGTTGCACAGATTGATGTAATGGAAATACTTCTAAATGTTGTTTGTTTGTTTTTTTACTTTGAAATGAGGTTTGAATGCTTAGATATGACAGATAGTAAAGGCCTATGAGGTTTGTTAGCTTCTGTGTTACTGTGGAAAGGCTGATTCATTGATTGAAAAAACCTAAATGTTGTCATCCCTTCCCAGCCCTCCACCACCTATAATTTGCAAGGGGGTCGTACACGGGGGGTACAATGTAATATTGACCCTTGAAAACTGCGTGAAATCTCAAGTGGAATGTGCAGTAGTCCAGAAGTGGCTGTGACAAAGAACAGATGTCAAATTGTAGACCCTGGGAGAGCATCTTTGTATTCTACTGCAAAGAGATGAAAATAAATAATAAGGTTTATCAGGCCTTGGTATACCTTATCTTTGAAATTACGAAACATTGCATGTGATCCTTGGCAGGTGCAGGCTCCGTTATCATAAGGCACTGTTTCTTTCTCTATAGAAGCATAACAAATCGTAATAATGTTTCACAGCAAATGGTCTATAATGTCAGTTGATCCTTATTTATTACAAGTTGGTTACTTGTTAATTTTTTATTTTTTTTTACCAAGTTAACTGCTTTGACACATAGGGGAGTCTCTTAATTCTGTATTGCTAATTCTAATTGCTACAGTGGAGGACTTCTATAAAAGCAAATCTTTCTTTTATGTACTCAGTTAGTTTTCTTCCTACCGAATAGTGCATGTTCTCTTGTTCATACAAGCACATCAGGAAAGTGATGTTCATTTACTTAACATAGAAATTCAAGTAGGCATGCGTTTGCCAGATAAAAATTCGTCCAAAATTCCTTGGATTTTAAGATTACCTGTGATAGAACCTCAAATCTGGAAAGGTTTAGTGATAAAAGAAGAAAAATAATGATATTTAGTATCTTCTGGTTGTCTTAGATATTTGTTAAAACCATAAGTTATAACTAAACATTGAGCTGATGTGAAGCACTAGGGTTTCCTTGTTGTATAGAAAGGAAACACTTCTTAGTAGGATACTATCTGCTACTTGGAACAGTTGCTTCTATTTTCTTATTAGCATTAGGCTTTTATTGGTCAGCAACACCGATAGAGGTATGTACAGACTTTGGACAGATCTGGACACTAATAGTCATGTTTTGTAGCAAATTACTAAACTGCAGAATTCTTTGTTTCTTGTATTTCAGATCTCATAATGGATTTCTTATCTGTGTGAATGATACCATTAATTTTCTCCTTTTCTCTAGTGGAATGTTTTATAATATATACTTTTTTTTTTTTTCCCTCATGCAGGTTATCTTCCTGGGAAACATCGCTGTTTGCATATAGAGAATCTCTTGCTGAATTACTGCAACTGAGTGTAGAATGTTACTTTACTTGTGATTCTGATGGAGGAATAACCAGATCTCAGGCTGCTGCACTGGAAGACCTTACAGGAAATAAAAAATGTCATCTAATAGGAGTCAGAACCCACATGGACTTAAACAAATTGGTCTTGACCAGATATGGGATGACCTAAGAGCTGGAATTCAACAGGTTTACACCAGACAAAGCATGGCAAAATCCAGATATATGGAACTCTACACGTATCCTACCGTCTAAGCAATTAATGCTTTCATTGTTAGTATAAGATAGTTTTTTATATATTTAAACTCAAAATTGACTTAGTCACTTTTAAGAATATGTTTTAATTTTGAAGATTAGCCTTTTCTGTTTAATTTGTCTGGCAAATAAGCGGAAACAATCTGTTGTCTGGAAAACTGTAATGATGTATACGTCTGAGTTTCAGATCTGATTATGATCATCTTTGACAGAACAGATATTTAAAGTGATTCTATTAGTTGGTCTAATTTTGAGTCAATGATACGGCGAAAGAAACAAAATTTTTCTCCCTTTTTATGTTAGTTTTAGTCATTACGCTTTATTTGCAGTCATCTCCAGTTACCTTGAAAATTTTTCCTTTCTTAACATCAGAATAGTACTTTATTCTGAGTTGATTTTATAATTTTCCAGCTAGTGTGAGGATGTGCACAATGGATTTATCTTGAATTTCAAGCTTGAATCTAAGAATTGGTGAAATTTTCCATCATCTCCCATGCTGGCAATTGTTGCTATATGTGTTTATTAAGCTTCTATTTGGAAGATTTCGAGCAACTTGTTTCTGTCAAGTAACGTGCAAAGGCTTTTAATCACTAATTTTAAGGAGAATTGTGCTTCTTTTTGTATCACAGCTTCAGTGTTTGATTTCCAAACTTTGTTTGGAAACTGAGTAATCCTACTTTTTTTGCCTTTTTGAGGAAGAAGTATATAAATGGATTTGATGAGGAACTACAGTAAGATAAAACTTCTCACCAGACCTGTTCTGCATCTGTTGGTCAGTGTTTGCTTTACAAACCTATTATATAGCAGAGTAAGTGCTCCTTAAAAAGATTGTTGTACAGCCAAGCCAAGCATGTAGACAACTATGATTAAAGAAATAATAGTTGAATATATTTCCTCTCTTGCTTCAAGCAACTGTGATATTTTTCTTTTTTTTTTTCTTTGAGGTTTTTTTGTATAGATTATTATTCTGATACATAAAACCATGTTCAAAGCTTTTTTGATACATATTTGGAATTGCACCTCAAGTTCTAGTCACTATTAATTTATTTGAAAAGACAAGCTTTGAGGCTATAAGGTAGTTGGATCTGTGATTCTCTGAGCTTTGTAAGAAGACAGAAGTTGGTTTTCTGTACGTGTGATTACATGATCAGAATGGTTATAGAATCTTATCTGTACCTGCCGACTTCGTGCTCCTAAGAAGGAAAAAAACCTTGAACAGTCTGAGGATCTAGGTTACTTTTTTAGTAGAGATGGGAAGATGGAATACCATTTGGTTTCGGATCAGAACTTTTCTAAGACTTGAGGTCTTTTCTGAGACTGATTCCTTGTGGTGCTAGTAGTGATATTGTTCTTGACCAAGTGCAAGAAATCTACAGAAGTTTGAAAAGTTTCATATGTAATGGAACGTTGGAATGCCTCCCATTTTATTATATTGGCCCACAGTATCAGTGGCATGTGTTGGTATGGCAATAGAGGTTGGAACTTCCTGACAGTATTCCATTGTATCTTGTTGCTGTGGCAAATGGCAGTTGGAGGGGCAGTCTGACAGAATGGCATCTGACTGGAAAGTGTGTATGAAGCAAAGGTGTCATAGAATTCTTCCACATAGAAAAACTGGCATCCATTGACATTTGTGGACTTGCTGAACATTAACGGAGACTATGCAGTGGATGTTAGTATAGTGAGTTGGTGGGTGGTTTGTTTCAGCAGCAGTGACAGTTGGAATTTTTAGGAGCCTGCCATGCAGGCTGTTGTTCATAGCTGGTGAAAGTGCATAGTTAATGGTGATGATTATGTTGAAAAGTAGTGTTTTGTAGCTGAGAATGTGCTCTATCAAATAGTGTTGTTATGCTCTTGTAGTTTCCATGGAAACAAACGAGGCATTACTTTTGGGGTGACCTACATACTTAGTATACTGTTATTCTTACAAACATTTGCCTTTTTCTTCTCTACCTGATATTCCTAAGTGTTCATGGGATGAAAAAGGGGTATGTTGCACATTAACTTCTCATTTCCTTCTTGCTGTTGCTTCAAGAGAAGCAGCAAGAGAGGCTGAGCCTGAAGAGTTTAAGGTAAGTTTTGCTTCTTTCATAAGTGAATTTGTTTAGTGCATAATTCTGGTGGTTGACTTCTATTTGTGGATTAATTTAATAATGTGGTACTTCCTAATATTTGGCACTGATTAGGCTGAGTTTTAAAACAGCTGTGATGATAAGAGTGGAGTTTACATTCTGTATCAAGTGCGTATGTCCAAAATGGTGCTTTAAAGGTTTCTGCCCTTTTAAATGCTATGCGTGAAACGTTTGCTCAACAAGTCCACAAGATGGATAGACTTATTTTCGGGAGGCTCTGACTATGAAAAAACTTGGATTAGAAAGCAAAGCAGATTCGTTTCAGCTGCAGCTGTAATGTCTGAAGATCAATCCTATTCTTTTTTTAAAAAAATGCCAGATCATGCAACACCAACTTTGGAAATTTTGTGAAGTGGACAGTGTAGTCATTTCTTCATCCTTTTTTTGTCTGCCTGTGCTCTCCCACTGTGTTGTGTTTTCTTTTATTTTACTTGTTTTATCTTTATTTATTTATTTGGATGAGATATTGCTTCTGAAATAACATGTTTGATATCTCTAATTAACCATTAAATAACCATTAATGTAAGCACAGCTGCCCTTACTTCTGTCTGCTATTAAATTTTGGGCCAGAATTGATAAGAGATGTGCAAGTTTTTTGTGCTTTTTTTTTTTTTCAAATGAATCTTAGAAGGAGTTGTGTAGCTCAGACTGTTAGGATGCAGATCCAATTTCTTGTCTGTTCTCTTTATTTAGAGAGTCTCCTGTGTGAAACACTGGCTTCAATCTCTGAGTATGGGTCAGAGCTTGTATTTAAGATAGTATTTTTCTCCTTTTTTTTTCTAGCGTAAGTAACACAGGGATTATTCCAAAGGTTTTCTAGATTTGGAAATACTGGAGAGATGAACCAAGAAATCTTGTTTCTGAATGGTAGTTTGAAAGATTCTCATCCCTAATCTTACTAATCTAGATTAATTTGTGCTTCTGATTTCAAGGTGATTTTTTTTTTTGTCAGATCAGACCATTCCCAAATGTTTCTTAGTACTGCATATATTGATGTGGTTCTCTTTTGCTGTGCCAGAGCACCTTAGCAGTCCTATTTATTCACCATTGTTTACCAACTTCTGATGAATTGTACTTTAATCACATTCTTGTGCATGTTCTTTATTTCCTGTTGAGAATGTACAGATTCCATTTAGAAAGAAAATTCCTTTAAAATACTGCTTGTTCTCAAAGATGACTGTTTTCCCCCTGGCCCTCCACAGTTGAAATGAAGTACTTTATTCGGGTGCTTTTCTGTCTCTTACCCAGATAATTAGACTATTTCTAGTACTGAAGAGCCCAGTAACTCCTGCAGCAATAATGTCCTAGGCTGTGTTACAAGCAAGCATAGAGTTACTTGGCAAGCATCAACTTCATCCAGGAAAGATAAATAGTAAAGAAGATTAACTATATTTCTAGAATGGCAGCATGGGTTATTGATTATCCGTTGCATGAAATGTAAGTAATTGTAAGCATATAAAATGTAAGCAAGCATATGAAAAAAGGTTGTTATGATGTGTCTTTTGAGGTAGTTAATTCATCTCAGATGTTAGCAAAAAGAGAAACCTTAAATAATGATATAGTGTATTAACATTTTAAAAATGCCAGATGACTTAGGATAATCTCCCCGTTCATAAAATAGAATACCTAAATACATTCAACGTGTTCTTACCTGTGGATAGTCAGTACCAGTTAAATATTCTGCCCAAGCAGCATCATGTTATTCCCTTGGCAACTATTTGCCAAGGTCTCTGTAATTGCTTCCGTTGGAATCCTTGTCCTAGGGGCTTTCACTAGAAATCCTGTCTTTAGTAAGGTTTTTAATAAGCAGAGGGTACTGATCACATGGATCTGATATTACTAGGCAGTACAGTGTGTTTTTTTTTTTCCCTCTGAACAGACTGCTACTCTTTCTGCATAGAAAAAGATACCAGCTTGTTAGGGCATGCAGTTCTTAAACCTCAGAAAGCGTTCCTTTTGAAATTCCTTCATTCAAAGCCATTCTTTCATTTTAATGTTAAATGGTTTGATTACTCTGGATGCATCAAAGCAACCTCAGCTGTCTACTATTAATCCTATTTAAATTCAATATAATGTTTATTAGAATTTCTACCAGTTAATGCTTACGTGGAATGTGAAGATGGAAGTAATGGTATATATTTATGCTTTTTGAAGGATCTACTACTACTTGTGCGGAAATGTAGATATAATCGCATGGTCTTAGGTATTCTTGTGAAAGCTGCTGCTTTGGATTGAAAGAAGTGCAGAGTGTATTTATACTAATGTGATCAGTTCCTTTAATTTTCTTCTCTATGCTGATTGCTTCCTATTCTACTTGCTTCTATAGTAACCAAGAATATTCTGTAGAAAACAGACTTCTGTCAATTCAAGAACTTTAAGCGTAAAAACAGCCTCAGTTATGTTGGTTCTTGCATGTTCAAATAAAGGCTCTAGACTTTATATATGTATTTATGTTTGAAAATGCCTTTTTTCCTTGCACTTCAGTATTTCTCTGCTGTTCTCTTGAGCTTATACCATGCGGAAGGAAACAGAATGTTACCTGCTAGTCTTCAAATAGTTTTTGCTGGAAGTTTCTCAGATCTCAGACATACATTAATGTATCAGAGTTTTATGCCTGAATTCTCACAGTAAATGCATGACTGATTCTGTAGCAGGTCCTTTCTTTCTCTGCCTCCGTCCTTCCCTGGCTAAAATGGGAATGGCATAACAGAGCAGTAGTGCGTTGTACAAAGGCTGAAATGTGTGATTCTTTTTCTTCTTCCCTTTGGTCTGCTTAAACTCTGTAGGGTATTTGTAAATTTGTGTTCTGAATGTACTTAACGCATGTAGAAGAGACTCTTGCTGATACCTCCCTGAAAAGAATTAACTCTTCTGGTTTTGTGTTTATTTTTATGAGTTTTTTCTTTGGTTATTTTGTGGTACTTTGTTTTGTTTTTCCATTGCAACTCCTCAAGAGGTTGAAGTTCAAGTTGAAAGCGCTTATTTTGAACAGTGATGTGATCTTGGCAACCTCATGATTTCAGAAAGTTGTACAGAATTTTATTAATCTGGTTAATAAGCAGTTTAAGTCATGTAGATTTGTCTACTTCTCTTGGAAACTTTAGGTACGCATGAGGTTGTGTTACAAAATTGGATGCATCTGTGTTGAAATTACTTTAATCTTCCTGAAGAAAATATGTGAAATGCTTTTCTATTTAAATAATAACTTGTATTGCTTCTATTAGAAGTGGTTTTACAAGTATAGAAAACTATTTTGGTCAGAGTTTTCAATAATTCCCTATGTATATGTTATTCTTGCATAGCTTTGTAATTATTAACAAAAATACAAATTTTTGACAAGTGTAGCCAAATCTGAAACTATTCTACCCTGACTTACCCTTGAAATGACAAGAGTACTCAGCGTATAGCTAACTGCTGCTGTTGATAATCAAAATAGCGAATTTATGCCTAAAATTGATTTTTATATGAAAGGGATTAGAAGCAGCGATAGAAACTGATTAGGAAGTTGTTTGGCTTAGTTGTTGTTGCATACCTCCTCCTTTTTGAAAGCCTTATTGTAATTTTTCTCTGCTGTATAGCTTTGTACTATATTATTTCTACTTTCTCTTCAGTTCCTTTTATTTTTTATTTATCTGTTCCTCAAGCAGACTTATTGCAGCTATGCTAATTTTTCACAGCAATATGGAAAAGCTGTGGGGACCCAGCTGCCTCACTTAAAGGGGAATCCATTTTAAAGAAAATGGGGCTTCTGAGTTTACTTAAGATTAGGGACTTGTGGAACTGACTTATCTGTATCATCTGTACAAAGTGCAAGTGTTTTCCTGTTGTGTTGTATTACAGAACTGATACTCGTCTCCTATAATTTTTCTTCGCACCTGCTTCTTCAGGAAAAAATTCCTGCATGGAGTATTTTAGCATTTTTCTGGGGCAGAAGTTAGTTTAGAGGTGGCCATGGCACTTTCAAGCTTCTATTTTGGTGGTGTATTTGCAGTGCTGCTGAGTGTGTTTCACTTTCCATGTGACAAAAGTTCAGAACTGCTCAGCAAATGATGTGGGAAAAGGAAAATGGCTAATGTAATGGCAGTTACTTGGCCAGCCCAAATTGATGGTGCTGTGTGTGAACTCCTGTACTATTGGAAAAAAGGAGGTGGCAAAGATGAGGTGAAGCACGCAGGTGCATTGTCATGTCAGGATGTTTTCCTTCAAGGAAATGATGATGTACAGGGCCATAAACTCACTATGGAATAGTTTTGTGGGGACCACTGTTCTTTTGACCCGCTCTTTTTAAAGTAGAGATTGTCAAAAGCAGTGTATGCTGTACTGAAGGTGGTAAAACTAGTTTTTGTCTCTGGATGCTTCTTGTGTCACATTTTTAAAGAGCTTTAGGGAAAAATAAAGTTCTGAAAGATTTTTCATCTTAATTCACACAGTGCTGTATACATTTTTAAGCTTCGTTTTGATCTTCCCACCTCAAATTTTAATTCAGATAAGTAGATCTGATCTCCTTTCACCATAAGAATGAGGTGGAAGTTAAAGATTAATCTGTTCATCCTGTAGGTGGTTTGCTTGTTTGCTAGTGTAAGCTTGAAGTTAGCAGCCAGAAGCCTGGGGAGGAGTGCAATTTCACTATAGTGCAGGCTGTTGGCAAATTAACTTCCCTCCTTGTTATAGTGTGAGAATCACTACGTGCAAATGTCCACAGAAGTATTTCCTAACAGGTACTTTGCTGCAAGCAGAACATAAAATCATTGGATCATTAAGGTTGGAAGGACCAGTAAGATCACCTAGTCCAACCATCAACTCATGCCTGTGACCTCTTTTGACTCCACCACCTCGCTGGGCAGTGTGTTCCAATACCCCACTGCTCCTTCTGAGAAGAAATTTTTCCAAACATCATTCCTGAACCTCCCCTGGCACAACTTGAGGCCATTACCTCTTTTTCAAGGTAACTAGTGACAGAACAGGAGGCTGACCCTGTTTGCTATAATGTCCTTTCTGGTAGTTGTAGAGAGCCATAAGGTTTCTCCTGAGCTCCTTTTCACGGGATAGGGCAAGCACAAGGCAGTGCACATACTCAGCTCAGTGAACACAGAGCAGCCCCAAGCTAAAGCTCTGTCAAAAGGCAGGGCTGGACATCTCTGAGAATGTCAGTGTCTTTCTGTCAGTAGTTAGGTTTAGCTGGTAAGAATGTAGATCTGGGGTAAGAAAGTGTGAGAGAGTAGTCTTTTATGTGTAATGTGTCAGAGTTCTGCATTTACAAGCTGCCTGTTATACAGGCAATCCAACATAACAGGTGCAGAACAACTAAAGTAGAGCTCAAAGTGTTATTTTGGACACTTTGATTAGCAAGACTCAAGCTGGAATAGTGAATAAAGATGGTCACTACTAATACAATTTCTTCTGCAGCTCTGGGATTGCTTTGGATGGAAACGGATAAAAGATTAAGTCTATCTCAGTGTTTAAAAGAAGTTTTGATTGTAAATAGCAAAGTGTACAGAGTTGGAAAAAGGTTTTATGTCTTCTATTTTTGTTTTTTTTTGTTTGTTTGTTTATTTTTCTGAAGGTTATTGGGATTGTTGTTAGAGAAGAGCAGGAAGTATTCTAATCAGGCAGTATTTACCAAACCTGTAAGAATTACCCACTGTCATTTTATTCTTAGGCTTGCTCAAAGCCACTTGGTTTAGGAGAGCTAGGGAAGGAGGAGGCAAGATTCCCAGCTGGGTGTTTATGAATCAAAGCCCCATATTCCTTGTGTCACTGTGAAGGGTCTTCCATATACGATTCAAAGCACTTTACGTATTTTAAAGTTAAGCAGTGAGATAAGCCCTGCTTTTTTTCTTTGTGAGAAGAGTGAGTTTTATATCCAGAGAAAAAATGTATGACATTACTCTCTTCAATGAGGAATTCTGTATAGTACTATACTAATTTCCTAATTTGTGGCATACCACAGGCAAAGCCTGTCTAGTGGTTAAAGCTTGGCTTTAACAGAAGTTAAAACTGTATTAGACCTTCTAGATTACTTACTACAGTGTTATTCTAGCAAGGGATGTCACAGAGACAGCACCCTCAGACTCACAACAGAAGTGTAACTGCTTAGCATCTTTGTTCTTGTTGGCTAATAATTTATTGAGTGAATCATCAGAGTAACTTCTTGTGGCATCCAAGTCTATATCCAGTTGAAGTTCAGTTGTTAGTCTCCTTCTTTTTTGTGGAGTGCATCTTCTTCCACTTTGCTTACTTACATGAAGTGTTTCAAACAATGTGATTTCCACTTACTGCTTTGGAATAATGTCAACAAACTGTATTGCTTTGTTTTCCCAGTGGTCTTGTTAAGCATTATGTAAGTTCAGTGTTTGTTTCAGTATTTGCTGTAAACTCTCAGTTCTGCACATTCTGCTACAGATAATTCTGCTTAAAATTATTTTTTCTAGTTTTGTTTTTATTTTCCATTTGTTAATGTGTCTTGTAACGTATTATGGTTAGGTCATTTATGACCATATAAAAACAGCTTCTTGAAATTAATGTGTTTTTTTTTTAATTGTATTCTTAATAGCTTATACTCACACAGATATTCCTTAACTTCCTTGTTAGTCATGTTTATAACTACTGTACTAGTGTACACCAGTCTAATCAAGCACGAGGAGCTGGAGTACCTCCTTCTAAATCGAAAAAAGGTCAGACACCTGGAGGTGCTCAGTTTGTGGGTTTGGAATTGTACAAACGACTAAAAGAATTCCTGAAGAACTACTTGACGAATCTCCTTAAGGTAAGATAGTGGATTGGTATTTGTAGTAAGATGGGCCGAGTTGAGGAGAAAACTCATACCTGCAAAATTAGAACTGTATGCAGTCATCAAAAGTAAATTGAATTAACTTAAACTTGTTTTGTCTCAGTTATTCTGTTAACCATTAGAAGGTATTGTAGGATCTACCTTGGCGTGAGCTTTTTTTTCCTAATCTTGCAAAAGAGTTATGTATGTGGGTTGTTAAAGTAAAATCAGATGCCAACTTAAGCTGTCCTGTAACTTGAACAAGTGTAGCCAGACTTTCTAATCAGTTAACTAGCATGTTAGTAATCCTGAGAGGATGGTTGCCTGTAATGTTGAAAATGTCTGATGTTAGACACTAATTTGCTAATTACCCTTAAGGCTGCTTTGTAAGAGAGCAATTTCTAGTTATTTTTGAGAAGGTGTTCAATATTAAGCTTTTAACTTCTAGGATTTTAATTTTGAGCAACAATAAAAGAATTCTTTGAGTCCTGTAAGTATGCAGCTGTGTAAATTAATTACAAGACAGAAAGTTGGCTCCCAGTTTTATCCAGGATGCATGCCTGTTTTATTGCCATGATAATTCGAACTGTTTCCATTTATTACCTGACAGATTTCTATAGAAGACCTTATCCATCTATGCTCATTTGTTTCAGCCACCCAAGTAATAGCAGTAGGAGTGGGTGAAGAGGTTATTTTTTTTTTTGAATATTTTATGGTTGTCCTGGTGCATTTTACAGATCACTCTCATTAGTCTAGCTGCCTGTTTCCAGTGCAGATCTGTCTTGCTCTCTTGTAGGGAGTAGAGTCTCCTGGAGTTTTGTCTGTGTTTTTTTTTTTTTTTTGTGGGTGGTTTTCTGTGTATTATTTTTTATTTATCTATTTTTTCTTTGTTTAGGAAGAGCCATTTTTGTTTTGTCCTTTATTATTGCAAGAATAAATTCATTAACCCTTATTGTTCCTTCTAAATTATTGCTTAGTGTAGATATATTGTACACCTATACGTGTCTCTGTTGCACTTTAAAATTACCCTACACTACTGGCAAACTTTTTTTTTTTTTTAGGATGGTGAGGATTTGATGGATGAAAGTGTGTTGAAATTCTACACTCAACAGTGGGAAGATTATAGGTTTTCAAGCAAAGTACTGAATGGGATATGTGCCTACCTCAATCGACACTGGGTTCGTCGTGAGTGTGATGAAGGTCGTAAAGGAATATATGAAATTTATTCGGTAGGTCACTTTTTTGAAGTGAGTGGTTTGCTCATTCTGTCTGCTGGCATTTGCTGTATTTGTATTACCATTGCTCATGAAAATTTAGTGCTTGTACGAAGTTCACAGAAGTTTTTAAGTGGGCATTGTTGTACAATTTGCTGAAAGAAGTTTGACTCCTTTCAGTGTCCTTTTAGGATACCCTTCCTTTCCCCCCACCAACTCAGTATATATGTAAATGCTTCATGAGATGTACTCACTTTGTACCCACTGAGGCTACCAACATTAGATTGTCACAAGCTGACTTGAATACTTGCTGTATGTGCTGTTATCTGTGTGGACTCAGTTTTCCACATAGAATTCAGTCAAATGCTTCAAATAGAGAACAGGGAACGAACTGCAGTTCTTTTCTGTTTGCTTCAGTACACACTTCAGATCTCTAGCATCCAAGCTGCTAAGACGCAAGCCAAGTGTTGACTGCAATAACAGACTGGAAAATTGATTTGATATTGATAATTTTTTTTCCCCAAATGTACAGTAATTTAAAAAAGAAAAAAAAAAAAAAAAGGGGGAAAAAAAAAAGGAAAGAACATAATTATCCAAAATATGGAACCCTTCTGAGAGTAAAGGGCAAGGATTGTCCTTGCTGGTGATGCACTAGGAAAGAGATGTTATTTTACTACTTCACTAAAATAACTTTACGTTGGATAGAATATCAGTTTTTATCCTTATTTAATTGCCTTTCAATTGTTCTACCTTTCACTAGTCCCATACTAAGGGATTGTGCCAGCCTGAATATCCTCAATGGAAAAAGCTGTCCATTGTCAAAGTTGCAAAGTTTATTATTTTTCAGAGCTGGTGGGAGATCACTCTCGGTCTGGAAAAGGAACCCCATAGGAGGAATTAGTAACAAAATAAATGGTGATTTTGTTGTAAATCTGTTTTATTGAATGAGAAATATGTGCACCACCACATAATCATAAAAATTTGGAGTGTTTTGCATACTGTATCAGCTTTTCTTAGAAGTTATTGTGTGTATATGTTATGCATGTGTGTATAAGTACTTTTTTATTCCATTTTTCATCTCCCTTCCCTTACTTACAGCTTGCCTTGGTGACCTGGAGAGACTGCTTATTCAGGCCGTTAAATAAGCAGGTATATATAGATTATATAATTGTAGTATTATTTTAGAGGATTAATTTTATAACTCTTCCAGGGAGAATTTCAGGTGCAAAAAAAAAAAAGCCCTAGAAAATAAAGCAGATCTTTTTGCTGCTTTTTTATGATGTTAAAAATATAATTATTTTGAAGGAATTAACTTTGTCTTGAATTTTGTTTTTTCCAATGGTTGTACTTCCATATTCAACCCATTGTGTTCCCTCTTTGCTTAGAGAACACCTGGCATTCTTAAAAAAAAAAAAAAAAAAAAAAGCTGGTCTTAAAAAAAAAAACTCTTTAAATGAAGCAGAATGTCAAGTTGTATCCTTTTTGTATCATATGTAAGTGTAAGATTAGCAGATATATTCTTTGTGTGAATGACAGTTAGGCATGTAATTTTCCTTTTGTATTGTTATTTTTTAACCAATATAAACTTCTAAAGCATTTATGAAGCCTGAAATTCCAGTACTTAAATGTTGTCAGGACAGGCAGGAGTACATGATGTATGTACATCTGTGTGATGTATGTACATGACAGTGTTGTATTAAAATTGGAGAAAGTAAAGATTCAGTGAAAAAAAAACAGATAAGTGACAGACCTGGATTTTTGATCTCTTTTTGTATTACTGTAAACCTTTTCATTTATACTGATGCCTGGGAAATTCAGGTCAACCAAATATTTTGAATTAGTTTATTAGATCAATATAAAACAACAAGTTAAATACAATATTTCATTGTGATGTATTTATTTATGTTTCGCTCTTATTTACCAGTACTTCATGATTAAAAGAAGTATTTTATTAAGTACAAATTAGATTTCAGTTGAAGAAAAGTAGTTACACCACTTCACTCATCAGCATGGTCAGTAGCTTTCTTTGCATAAAGGTATAGGTGTTGAAGTTCTGCTCTTGCAGTTTTCTTTTTTTTCAGGTATAAAACACTCAGAAGTTTCATTTAAGTACTTAAAGCTTTTTTAAGAATGAAAAAACTGAAATAAAGGGAACAAGCACAAAAATCTTAAGCATATTCATACTTTTTTATGGCTCATGACTAACTGTAGTATAGTCACATTGTAGAACTTAGAGCTGTAGTATTCTGGCAGTAATGTTTGTATAAATTTTATATCTTCAGGTGTCTTTAAATTTTGTTCTTAAAGGGCTTAATTTGTCTTGAATATAGGAATACATACCTGATTAAATCCCGTTCGTGACCTATCAGAGTTTTCTCTGTTGACCTGCTTTTATTCTCTGTTCCCTAAGGTAACAAATGCTGTATTGAAATTGATTGAAAAGGAAAGAAATGGTGAAACTATCAATACAAGGCTGATCAGTGGAGTCGTACAATCTTACGGTAAATGAGATTCCATTAAAGTTGTTTTGTTATTTTCTTTTTTAGAAAGTTAGAATAATAATCTTATCAGAATTCAGAAGTAGGCTGCCACGTCCTTGGATGTCCAGTAGATACTTTTGATATAACTATGTTTATTTTACTATAAGTTTCTTTTTATGTACGTGGAGATGGTAGACACACAACTACAGTTAATAATAAAATAGTTGTCAAGGTTGAAAAGAGAATTGATATACAAGAGCACTGAGTGCTTATTCTGTTTTGTAGGAGAAAAAACTAGAAAGGTAAAAACATGATAGCTGATGAAATTGAATGTTCATTTTTTTTCATTTGCATAAAGTTGAGAGTTTCACCATACAGATTAATTATCAGTTTAATTGCTAAAAATATATATGCTCATAACCTGTAACTCTAAGAGGGGAAATATGGAAGGGTAGTTTTAACCAGGTTTTATGAATGTGGAGTTTATCATTTCCTGTAATCTGTAGTATCAGGAAGTAGAGTTTATATGAGTAACAACTTACACTGATTATTTTTTAAATGCAAAATAAATGCTTGCTTTAAAAAAAAAAAAAAAAAAAAAAAAAAAAAAGATGCTGATGTTGTCACGGTTGATTACCTTCATTTAAGTTAGAGGGGAAGTGACCTGTTTACTTCATGGAATCATAGAATGGTTTGGGTTGGAAGGAACATTTAATATCGTCTAGTTCCAACCCTCCTGCTATAGGCAGGGACACCTCTGACTGGACCAGGTTGCCCAAAGCCCTGTCCAGCCTGGCCTTGAATGCTTCCAGGGAGAGGGCATCCACATCATCTCTGGGCAACCTGTTGAAGTGTCTCACCACTCACACAGTAAAGAATTTCTTCCTAATATCTAGTCTAAATCTGTCCTCTTCCAGTTTAAAGCTGTTTCCCCTTGCTCTGTTGCTACATGCCCTTATAAAAAGTCTGTGTCCAGCTTTCCTGTAGGTACTGGAAGGTATTTGCAAGGGACTACTTCATAGAAGATAGTCTTATCATTGTTTGCTCATTTTTTTTAGTGGAACTGGGGCTGAATGAAGATGATGCATTTGCAAAAGGACCTACACTAACTGTCTATAAAGAATCATTTGAATCTCAGTTTCTTGCTGACACAGAGAGATTTTATACACGAGAAAGTACTGAATTCTTACAACAGAACCCAGTCACAGAGTACATGAAGAAGGTAGGTTATTTTCTGCGTAGAGGTAAAATAATAAAAAAAATTCTTGACTTTTATTATCGGTTTCTTAAAATGAGTTATTTTATAGAGGCAAAATCAATCAGCTCTTGTTCCGTGAGGTGATTTGCATCTGTGTTTTCCTTTTAATCTGTTCTGAAGTTTGTCTCCTGAGTGAGTTTCGGGAAGCACAGTGAATGTTTGAAAATTTCTTAGTGGGCAAACCAGAAGAGGGTGTTAGACACAAATTTTTGCTAGGCTTCAGAATTTGACACCAGATTAACCATTTGCTTTAGACCTGCAATTTGCTGTTCTTGTATGAGGAACTTGTGTGCTAGCACATTATTGAAATCTCTTCCTGAGTAAGCTGACCTCCATAGAGAAATTAGAATGCTAATAATGATCTGAAATATTTTCAGTTACTGAACCTTACGCGTTAATTCTGATCATCAGAGTTAGGATTTAAATTGTTAATGTCTCTGGTTTTGGGGGATCCCAGACAAGGTGATTAAAAGTAAGCTGGATAAACAGTACTATTTCTTGCCTGGTTATTGGCTGAATTTAAAATAAATAGTTTGTGTTCCATATTAGACAAATGTTGCTATATATAAAGGCTACTCTGAAAGTAATGCCTCTTATTTTATGTTGGCCTGTGATATCAGAGACAGATGTTGGTGGAGATCGACCCTTCCTGCCAGTATTCCATTACATTTTGTTGCCTGGCAGCATTGGGGCAGTTAGACAAAATGTCATCTGACATGGAATTGTGTGGAATTGAATTCCTCCATGTGGAAAAAATTGTAGCCATTAACATTCATTGATGCTTGCGGAATGTTTTTGGAGCCCAAACAGTGAATGTTAGTACAGTGAGGTGGTGGGTGGTGCATTTTAGTAGCAGCAGCAGTGACGGTAGGTCACTTCCTCTTGTTCATCGCAGGTGAAAAGGCGTAACTAATGCTGGTGACTATGTTGAAAAATAGTTTTGTTGCTGAGAAAATGCTCTGTCAGGTAGTGTTGTTATGCTTCATGTAGCTGTTCTGGTTTCCATGGAAATAAATAGGAGGCACTGCTTTCAGATCTACACAGATGTGTCTTTTTTTCTTAGTACATCTCCTCAGTTAATGATTTACTGAAGGAGAATAAAAAAGACTTTTTGAGGAAAAGTACTAGAAATACTGCTGTAAAATGAATCCGGTTTTAAGTGCATTAGAATAGCTATTCAGAATCAGTTTTTCCCTGGCATATCTGTATTTACATTCTTGTTGAATTCATTTGCGTTTTCCCCTTCGCTTTCTTTACTTTCATCCTCTACTATCTATCTTACATAGTTGCACGTATAGATATAACAGAATAAGGGAATTTCAGCTGTTCACAATGCAAATGAATGGCTCATGCAGGATTCCTCTGCACAGTAAAAAGCTGTCTGAAGGTCATTGCTATTTCAAGAACTAGGGATTAGTGACAAGTAGAATGAACTTAATAGTAACTGAACCTTAAACTTCAAAAACTCACAGAAGCAACTTGCTTTGCTTGAAGCTCAGAATGTATAGAAAGCTGTTAGAAGGCAGGGAAAACCTTCAGCAAGGAAGTGTGTAGTCTCTGACTATATAATATGTACGTGTGTGTGTATATACAGCCATTGTGTGTGTGTATATATAATGACCATATATATAGCCATTTTTGCTGTCTTAGCATCTCCTTCTAACTGATCTGGGATTTAAAACTGGGATTTAATTAATTAAACTGATCAAGGTGTGTATTAGACTCTACAGTAAATGCGATAAGAGCTTTTTAAATCTTCCTAAATGGTACAGTCTAAGGGATGTGACCTTAGGGAAAGGGGAATTATTGAGGCTATCAGTCTTGACTGATTTCTCTATTGTCTGTTTTCTACTGGACAGGTAAAGAGAGTTTATGCAAGTTATCAGAACTGTTAACTTAAAATTCAGATGGGCTTGTCCCTCAGCTTTATTTTACACCAGGAATTCTTAATGAATTTTTTACTTTCACAAAAGTATCTTATAATGGCTCTTGTTGTTGTTTGGGTATTTTAATAATGCATGCTATCTGTATACCTTACTTTCTCACTGAAGGTCTGTGTATTGAATTCTAACTGGAGATAGCATCTTGTTGGAATTATTGATTTAAATAATTTATGATATTGTTGTATAACAGTTGTTACATAAACAATTTCTGTTTTACATTTTAGAACAAAGTAGTTCCCCGAGTGCTTTTTAGAATTTTTGTTCGCCAGAAAGATGAGCTAAATTAAATATAGGTACAATTTAAGTGATTCTAGGTTATTGGGAAGCTTTCCTGTGTGAGAATGTATATGAGAACTTTCAATTAAGTTTGTAATGGTTGTACTGTTTAACTGCAGTTTTGTGCAAGCACAGAACTTGTTCATGCTTGTTTTAAACAGTGCTAAGTCTGTAGCTGGGGAGCTTTCTGATGCCAAAACTGCAAGCATACTATGTAACCAGCTTTCTCTTTCTGACAACAGATCTTTCAAACAGATGTGAAAACTTTTTGTTCAGAAGGACAAGGAAAAACAACTTTTTCTTTAATTCTCCGCCTGTTTCAGCGGTATAAAATGTTACTCATCAGCATTGACATTGATTCCATATGTGAATAGCATGGCAGAAGCCACATTATGAGTCCTGGAGAAATGTCTGTTAAGGTGTACCATAAGAATTAGTTGAGATGTTTGGTTTTTGTTTGTTTTCTAGATGAGTTTACTTAATATACAGGTTTTCTGCTACTAGATTTTTCATACAGGTTTCATGTTTATCTTTTCTCTCCTGTAGGCTGAGGCTCGCCTTCTTGAGGAGCAACGTAGGGTTCAAGTGTATCTCCATGAGAGCACACAAGATGAATTAGCACGAAAGTGTGAGCAAGTACTTATTGAAAAACACCTGGAGATATTTCATACAGAGTTTCAGAATTTATTGGATGCTGATAAAAATGAAGGTACACCAATCCAGACGTCTCTTTTAGGCTTAAAGTTCCTCTTTGGTTTGTGAATAACACAAATCCTGTTGATGGCTAAATGTGATATATTTTTTTTGGCAGATTAAGAAGTGTGTCTGCCAAACGTGTTATCAGTGTCCCAGTTTGCCTTGCATTTCCTATCATTTCTGCCATTGCTGCCACAAGTTGAAGTACCACCACTTATTGCCTTTTCTATATTAACATTTCTCTTAAAAGCTGTCCTGTTCTTGATAAATTTTATAGGATGATGGTCAGCTGGAGAATCTTGTATTTCTGGCACAGCCAGCGGTAACACTAATTAAAGTCTTAATTCATTATATAAATTCAAAACCTCATATAAATAAGAGGATTTAAATTCTATTTTTAAATCATACACGTATGAAAACTAGAATGATCAGAAGTAGGCGTATTTCTGTAAATGAAATATTTTTTTCCTTCTTGGTAAGTAGCAATGTAAAGGTAAAATGTTTTAGTATTTAAGGTTGTTAATTGTTTTCTATTGAATTTGTCTTAGCTTTTGAGGTCAATGGAAAGACTTAATATACTAGATAATTTGTTTGAACTTTTCTTACTTTTTACCATAGAATTTGAATGCATATTTTCATTAGTGCTGATTGTTGAACTCATATTGGCAATTTTTAAATGATAATTTGGAGTTATAGGTAATACAGATAAGATACTGGCTTCCCTTATTTTTCAGACTTGGGGCGTATGTATAATCTCGTATCTCGAATCCAGGATGGCCTCGGAGAGCTGAAAAAGCTGTTGGAAACTCACATTCATAATCAGGGTCTAGCTGCAATTGAGAAATGTGGCGAAGCAGCTCTAAATGCAAGTATCCCCATAAAGATATGTCTGTACATGATTGCTTTTTGCATGATATTGTTTATATCAAGAACCCTCCTCAAATTCAGATTTTCAATCCTTATGTGTTTTCCTTCTTGGTCATTCAATTTGTGCGGACTAGACAATTCTCACACATTTGTAATAGGCTTGAAACAACAACCAAATTGTTGTTGTTGTTTTCTTTTTTCTGAGGTTTCTTTTCCTTATGAGTTTTGGCTGTCAGGATTTCATGCTGCTCATAAAGCTGGCTGTGCAAATATGGCATCCTACACTACGATTATAGTTTGAAGTCCATGCTATAAGAAGCGTTTTGTATTTTATTTCGTTTCTATCTTATCTCAGTATTGTTGTTTGAGACTGAAGAAGTTTTGTTTTTAATATTTTGATGAATTGCTTTATTCTTTTCGCATTCTATTTGCAAAAACATTATGAATGGTAAGGAGAAGGAGGAGGGTTTGGGGTTGAATCTCAGCAGCATTAAAAAGTTGCTTAAAACTATTGTTAGCCTTTTTGAATGTAGACAATGTGATACTTCTTATAGAAAATAAGCAATAAAAATAGAGTAAGACAAAGCAAGATTAAGATTAAAATTTACTAAAGGTTTATATTCAATTTAAAGCAGGATGAAATTTTGCTTCTGACAGATTTCATTTCAATCAGTAATTGGTCTTGGATACTGCTGAAATAGCACTACTAATAGTGCTTAGAATAGTGCTGCTAAACACTGAAACAGTAGCCTGTAACAGCTTCATGGACAGCAATAAAAACAATGCTTTCAGATGAATGTGTTTTACATGTCTGAAGTTCATGTTCATCTGTTAACTTCTGTAACTGTCAGTATGTAGCTTTTCAACAATATTGAGGTTTTCTGAATCATAAAGTAACTTCAGGAATCTTCTGTTTTGTTCAAAGATGTCGCCTTAAATTTAGAAATCAACCGTGTTCTATAGTTATGCATCCATCCATGGGTTATCGTTCTCAAGTTTCTTCATACCTGGGCCTTGAAGTTCATAGAAAAGTGAAAACTCCTTTTTATTGGAATTAGCTCATCTTTGAGAAAAAGGAAACCTGAGATCTATATTCATTCCTTCAACTCTATCCATTTAAACTTTTCCTGATCACAGTGCTTTCTTGTTTGTTAATTATGTTCTTTATCTCTTTCTTGTTCCTTTCTTCTTTTTTGTGTGTTGTTCTTGTGTATTTTCACAATTCTATTTCTGACTGATTTTCCTTGAGAAGCATCTTGCCACTTCTTCCAGTATCCTTTACTCTGCTGTGTCTCTTTTTTCGTCATTGCTTTGTAAGTCCTCTACCACATTTAGATAGGATTGATTCTAACCTCAGTTTCTGCACTGTGTCCGAACAGTCAGCTGAGCAAACATCTCTCAGCTTTTCTGTAGTCAGTGGAGATGAAAGTGATACCAGCTCAACTCATGTGACCTATTTTAGATTTTTACTGCAGAATGAGTTGTGTTCTAAACTCAATTATCTATATTGATTAGACCGCTCTTCAGTCAGAAGACTACTGCTTCTAGTGCCTTAGGTTATCTTTTCTGGTGTCGTAATCAGGAGACTGCTCTTCAGATGTACTCTAGTTCTCTTCAATTTCTTGCCCACAAGTTATTTAGTAATCTGTCAGTTCTCTATCTCAAATAAAGCCTTAGCTTGGCAGTCTACATAATCTGTATCTGAATTCAGTGGCAACAAAAAATTCTTCAGGATCCTGATAAAACCTTGCCCATCTTTTGCCATTTATTCATAGCCTCTGGAATTCTTATGGTAGAGATTTAACAGGAACACTTAATGCACAATCATTTTGTTCATGGACCTGCTGTACATGAGTTCATCTATTTTTGGTCCTGGTTATCTTATATGTTTCCAGAGGTCTACTGAGGCAGCAGGTTACAGAAGTTCACTACTTACATGTATTAATATATATTATCTGTTTTAAACCTGTGTGCTATTACCTTCATCAAGTGCCCTTTAGTTTTAAAATGAGTTTTGTGAACTCTCATCTTTTCACTCATCTTCCTGATATTTTGACTTCGATCGTACCTGTTTTTAAAGTTCAGATCTACTAGCTGGAGATTTCTAGCCTTCTTAGATTCCTGTAAAGTAGTTACTGTTTGGTGTTCTGGTTGCTTTTCATGGTTTCTACTGACCACTACATCTTTATGCAGATGCAGAGGTTAATAATTGCATGCAGCACTTGCATTATGAGTGCCATAAGTTTCATGCTTACTGATATTTGGCTGCCATTATGTGTTGAGTTGGTAATTTTTCAGTCAGTGGTGATTGACATCTCAGTACTAAATTGTATGTATTGGCAATACATTGTTACATTCTTAGCACAGAGAATGTTTTTCAGTCATTTCCTATAACAGTTGCCAATTCATAATTGCCTGGATCTCTCAGGTCTGATCAGAATAAAGCTCATATTTTTGGCCATGTCTGACTGAGTAAGTGATTTTGGTTTTATTCCTAGTTGCTGTTAATGAAGGCTTCCAGTAATGTTGGTCCGACAGGAGAGTGCAAACTAGTCTGGATAGATACTAGTACCAATAGTATGTAATGCTTACTCATACTTAGTCAGACGTGGAATCATAGAATCTTCTGAATTGGAGGGTACCCTTAAAGCTCATTTAGTCCAAATCCCCTGCAATGAACAGAGATATCTACAGCTATATCAGATTGCTCAGAGTCTCATCTAGCCTTAAATGTCCTCAAGTTCAGGGCTTCCACAGCCTTTGTGGGGAAGCCTGTTCCAGTGTTTCGCCATTCTTATCGTAAAAATGTTTTTCCTGATATCCAATCTGAATCTCCTTTGTTCTAGTCTGAAACCATTGCCTGTCTTACCACTCCAGACCTTGGTAAAGAATCTGTCCCCTTCTTTCTTATAGCCCCTCTATAGATACTGCTATCTGTCCTTCCTAGAGCCTTCTGTTCTCCAGCCTGAGCAGGTCCAACTCTCTAAGCCTGTCCTCATACGGGAGGTATTCCATCCATTTGCTCCTATTTGTGGCCCTCCTCTGGATGCAGTTTGTTTGCTGAGGGTGCGCTCAGTCCCACTGTCAGTGTCATTGATAAAAATATTATAGAGCAGCAATCACAGTACTGACTCTTGAGGGACATCATTTGTCATTGATCTGTCCAGAGATAGTCATTGACCACTGCTGTCTGAGTGTGGTCTTGCACCTGGTTCCTCATCCATCGAACAGTCTACCCATCAATTCCGTATCTTTCCAATCTGTCAAGAAGGATGTTATGGGGAGGATGTGTCAAAGATGTTATTCATGACATTAGTAGTAAACTGCTAACACACTGCACATTTTCACCACAAAAGTTTTCCAGGGAATAACTTCATTTTGGAGGAAGGAGAAAGTAATCTCTCTTTATTACAGGATCCAAAAATGTATGTACAGACAGTGCTGGATGTCCATAAGAAATACAATGCTTTAGTCATGTCAGCATTCAACAATGATGCCGGTTTTGTGGCTGCACTAGACAAAGTAAGTATGTGTGTTGAAGTATGGCAACCATTTTCTATCCCTAGAGTTTCATTTCCCAAAAATTTCACTGTCTTTTGTGATTTATAGGCTTGTGGTCGATTTATAAATAATAATGCAGTGACAAAAATGGCTCAATCATCCAGTAAATCCCCAGAGCTACTGGCACGATACTGCGATTCTTTACTGAAGAAAAGGTATGTTTTTGAAGATAAATTATTATTCCAGATTGGCTTTTGTTTTAAAAGGATGTAGAAGTTTTATTCTGTGCCTTCAAAAGCGTTTCAAGGCAACTTAATTATACCAAATTCTGATTTTAAAAAATAAAAATCGGTGGGGAATATCCTAGAGATAATTTTAGTTCTTAAAGAAGTGTGGGGGAGGAATAGGGAAGTAGTAGTACTTTTTTCTTGTAGTAATATAAGCTCAATTTTTTTTTTTTTTAAGTTCCAGGGTTTTTTTGTTTGTTTTTTGTTCTAGATGTTATTTTCTTTGTTTTTCTGAAATATGAGTTATAGTATACGTGTGTGTCATGAGGAAAAGATGCACATTCCCCTTTTCCATTAAAGCTCTTGCTTTCCTCCTGTCATTTTCTTTGTATCTCCTTCCATCTGGGCAGAAATTGAGGACAAACTTTTCTGATTTATCATCAATTCATAATTATGGCATGTGGCTTCAAATGATTAAGCAGCTTATAAAGTGAGTTGATGTCAGTCCAGTTCATGCTGGATTTATGTCAGTTTTGTCACTGACATGTTTGCGAGCTGTTTTTGGTAGGGAGGTTGGGAAATAAAACCAGGAAAAGTTACTCTTTCTTCCTCTTCCCATCATCTCTTTTTTCCTCCTGAAAAGGATTGATTTTTCCCTTCTGCAGTGTATAGATATACGTGATATATTAGGTATACCTGATGTGTAAGCATGATGTGGAGGAAAAGAGTGTGATGCCAGGTTAGCTGTCACCCAGTCAAGACGCAGCTCTCTGAGCAGTTTTTTCTGTATTACCTTTGATAAGAAGCAATGGTAGCATTTAGCAGCAGGTAAGAAAGCAGAAAGAAAAAGATATCTAATTCCAGAAATCCTGAGAAATATCAGACTATCAGGAAGTCCCAAGCAGTTAATGGTACAAGAGTTCTACCTACTGTTTCAGAATCACATGCTTTATATGCTCACATGTGTGTTGTATGAAATAAAGACACAAATATTCAATTCATTGCGCCTTTTCCTCTTAAGAGTCTTTGGTCCCCAAACTATTCAATTTGTATTTATTTATGAAATAAATTTCCACATACTTCCTTCAAGTTGGTTTAATATAGCAATTTGGAGAATCTTAGGAAAAAAAAAAAAAAATGCACTTCTTTCATTGCAGCTCAAAGAATCCAGAAGAAGCAGAATTGGAAGATACACTCAATCAAGTGGTAAGATATCTGTAAATACCTGTTCTCTACAGTTTACGTTCTGACCAGTCACTAATATTTGTCAGTTATAAGTCAGATGAGATCAAACCTTTTCTTTTGTATGCTTCATTTCAGTAACTTTTCAGTAATAATCTTCACATCTGTGAGACTAGTTGTATTTTATTTTAATACAAATTACTTATTTAAAGCGAGTAGGGGGAATTTCTGCTAACTTCAGTTTTTTATATATATGTGTGTATAGATAGTGTCTGCAATATGTTCTTATATAATAATACTTGTGGCTATGTAGATTTATGAATAAATTAGACTTTTGATTTGGAATACACAGTTAATGTGTTTTAAACTGTTTTTTTTTTTTTTTAAAGTCACACAAAAAAAAGCCTCAAACTGCTCAGGTCCAGATTTGCTCTGCTAATGAAGCAGATACTCTTACAGTTTTTTCACTACAACTACTTACTTTTTTTTTTCTTACAACTTACCTTTTATTTTTCCAGATGGTTGTCTTCAAATACATTGAAGATAAAGATGTGTTTCAAAAATTCTATGCTAAAATGCTTGCAAAAAGACTTGTACATCAGAACAGTGCTAGTGATGATGCTGAGGCAAGCATGATCTCTAAACTTAAAGTGAGTATTCCATGATTGTCCCATGATTTACCATATTGCAGGTCTTCACACTGCCATGGAATGCACTGATGTATGTACTTTCATTTCATGCTTTTTCTTGTGTCATGTATAACCAAATAAGTACACAGTTGAGTTCACTTCCACTTCTGATTTTTTTTTTTAATTTAAACTCCCGTGAACTTGGAGTGCAGATCTGTCAGATTGGGATTAAATATATTTTCATCCAATAGATGACTTAGATATTGTTATCCAAATGAACAGTTTGATTTAATTAACCCTTGTTTGTACGAAGTCAAACAAAATAAGATGTAATGATCTAGTAGTCTGTTTCATTATGTGCTTTCCCATTTTTAAAACAGTTTTCAGCTTCTGATGAAGAGCATGTTTAGTTGGGATTTCAATAAGAGAAACACTGAGCTTTGTACGTTTTCATTTAAGAAAATGGGCTCCTTTCAGAATTCTTTGTTTTCATTCTTTATTGTCAAAATGCATCTTGCTGACATATATGTCCTTTTATTTTTTTTAAATCCAGCAAGCTTGTGGTTTTGAATATACATCCAAGTTGCAGCGGATGTTCCAAGATATTGGTGTAAGCAAGGACTTGAATGAGCAATTTAAAAAGCACCTGACCAATTCAGAACCACTGGATTGTAAGATATATGTTTACTTATGTTACCTTTTGAGTTCTTTTAGTTTTGTCTTATTTCTACACATAAAAGCTAATTACATGAGGGTAATACTTAATTGGCACATCATAATCCCCAAAGTTTAGAGTTGTTATTTTGACCAAGATAGATTTTATACTAGACTTTTTAGGTCTGTGTTTTATTGTCTGGTAACACTTCATAGCTTTTGCAACTCACGATTAGGTACATAATCAAATCAAGTTGAGTCCTGTCTTTTTGTAATGGTTTTAATGGTTTTGCTTTTGAGCACAACATAGCTTAAGCTATCTTCAACAAAAGCATTAAAAAAAGGATGCTGTGTTTTACGTTGTTAGAAAGCTTTACTGTTTTGTTTTGGAAGAAAGTCTATTAATTGAAGTATATTGAAACAAACCCTTTCAAAAACCAATAACTATTTGCTGGATTACATTACAGTATTTTCAGGCTTAAATTTTATTTAGTTTTCTTGTATTATACCTGTTAACATATCCAAAATGTCTTACAAATCTAATTGTGTGGTTTTTTTTTTGCTCTTGCCAACATATATTGTGATGCATTTTCAATACACGTAAATTTGTATGTTAGGTGAGCAGTCTGTTGTTGGAATAGAAACAGGCTAAAAGTTTCTACAAGGGAGAAAATTTAATGACTATCATAGAAAACCTAAACTTACTCAACTTTCTCCATCATCTTGTAAGAATTCCTTTGTTCTATGGTCTGAATAAAGAAAAAAAGATACATTGTTGAATGATTTTTCACTGTGGCAGTTAGAGCAAGGCAGAACCATTTCCTGTCCTTGTGTTAGAACTCAAATTTGAGCAACAAGTGGAAGCAAGGATGATAATGCAGTTCGTCCTACTAATGTGCATTCTTCTCCCTTCCAGTGGATTTCAGCATACAGGTGCTGAGTTCTGGATCATGGCCATTTCAGCAGTCTTGCACGTTTGCTCTGCCCTCTGAGGTAAGGTTCTGAACTTTGTTCAACTGAGCAATGAAATTAATAAGCAAGAAAGGAAGTTACCAGGCTAAATGTGTCCATCTGTTTTTTTTTTTTTTTTGTGGTTTGTTTTGTTTGGTGCATCAGAGAGGCTTAGAAGGTTCTTTTTTGTCTAGAAGCTTTGTATGCATATTTTGTACTTGTCTTTTGGCTGAAGGATGTTTGGAACAAGATAAATGAGTGAAGGTAGCAGGAGGAAATTGCGTGAAATATCTAGCTTCCTTCTCCTGTAGAAAGGTGGTGATTAATGATATTTCAAAGCGTTATATAGTAATTGAAAAATTTGTTAGCATATCTATTTTAATATACTACTATGTAAGAAACTTCCTTGGTAGTTGCTTCTGCTCTGTCCAATAAACTGGTTGGATACTGTAACCATTAGTTTTCTACTGAGCGCATATTGAAAATAGATGAGATATGAATGTTTAATGCTTGAATTGAACTGCTATTAGTGGAGTATCATGCTAGTTAAATCACCTCATCTTGCCTCTCATTTCATAAAGGGAAGAATGAAATTTAGATTCTTATTTAGATTTTTATTGTTAGTGATGCTTTTAAAAAGGAGAATTACCATCCAGACTGAAGAACGTGGATGTTTTTAATTTCAAACAATATGGCAGCGTAGAGTGATCAGATTTAATTCCTGTGTGGTGTTCTACAGCATGTTCTAGTAGTGGGTGAAGGAAAACAACATTGTTGGTTTTCTTGTTCTTTTTTATACAGTTAGAACGGAGCTATCAGAGATTTACTGCATTTTATGCCAGTCGTCATAGTGGAAGAAAATTAACGTGGTTGTATCAGCTTTCCAAAGGGGAACTGGTCACCAACTGTTTCAAAAATAGATACACATTACAGGTAAGAATAGGTTGTGTCAATAGAAACACTTGGTGATGTTTGCAGTCTTAGAGCTGATTGCAGTGATTGCTTAGGAGACTTGCATTCACACTCTGCTCTGGTGCTTTCATGTGTTTAGGATGAGCTGCTCAGTCTCTTCAATCCTCTTTTGGAGATAACTGGTTTTCTTCACAGTTAGGGATCATTGCATAGATAAATGTGTTTAAAACAGTGAAGTATGTAGTTAGTTGAGCAGAATTCATGTAGAATACCTGTACCCCCACACAAATGAATTTTAGTTGATGATACAGTGAGCTGAGCAGTCTTATATTTGTATGTCAAAATATTCATTTCCCTAATTGTTGCATTAGTGTGTGTGTGTATGTATACACGTGTTCAACTACTAAGCATTCATTTGCTTTACTCATGTGAATAATGCTACTGGCTTTAAAAAAAAAAAAAACAAACAACAAAGTTCTTGGTGTTATGATAAATAGAACCTTTATTATATATTTGATCTATTTACTATGATATTACTTAAGACCTATTTATAATAAATTTGACTTAGAAATTTTACGTATTACTTTTGGCTTAAATGGTTTTCAAGCTGCGCTGTGTGAGGCAACTGCAGCCTCTTTGTGAAAGACATCTTGTATGTTTAGCTTTTCTGTGTGCATTCTCTCAAAAAGTAGGAGAGCTCAAAACAGTGAGAAGAAACAAGATAATCCTAGTCTCTGAACTTTTATAATCAACATACGTTAACTCAGTCTTGATAGGTTTGATAAGCTACTGATAGCTGTTCACTTGTAAGTCTGGTTTTGTTACTCTGCTAGATTTAGTAGGGTTGTGAAGATTAATTCAGTAATCTGTGTAGGTATTTAATGAACAGTAAACGAGTAAAAGTCAGGGAGTGGTAGAGGAAAAGATTATGAAGTGTCTGCAGCTAGTTAAATGCTCAGAATATTAGTCTTTATGTTTAGATGATGCTGGAAGATGGAGTTCTGGTTGTATAAATAGTATCTGTATTGTGTGTGTAATGATCAGCACTAGTTGGCTATTTTCCTTTGTCCAGTTATTTCAGTGTGTACTTTTACACTGGTGAATTTCAAACTGCTCAAGTTCAGTAAGTATGTGTGTGTATTTTCTCATATTCTGATTTTTGTATCTGGTAGGCATCCACATTCCAGATGGCAATTTTACTGCAGTACAACACAGAAGATGCCTACACCGTGCAGCAGTTGACAGACAGTACTCAAATAAAAATGGTAGTGCCTTTGCACATTTAACTGCACTTTTGGTCGTCAGGGCTCTTCCTGCTATTGTAAGAAATTGTGTTTAGATATGCTTGGAGCCAGAATTGGTTTCTGTCCTAAAGGTGCAGATGCGCTTCCCTGGTTTACTTTTGTGTAATTACTAACTGCTTAGTCTTTTGATAAATCTTAGTCTGCCTTGTCACTAGAATGAATTGTGTAGCTTCATGCTGACCCCTGGTATTTAATAAGATGGCACTATAGGAGGAACAGCATTTTTTCTAAATGATTGTGTTTTGCATTTCTGTTTTCTGCATTTCAAGGGTTATGTATGTAATCGTATCAAAATCTGTATGTCATAAGTTCACTGTCTCCTGTAGAAAAGGTTCACCTCTTCTTCTTCCCAAGTAGCTTTTGTGGCCCAATGTTTATTTGGCATTTGTGTCTTTTCTTAGTAGTACTGAATCAAGTCTGCTGGGACTTCTGGAAAGCTTGGCAATCCCTAGTCAGGTGGATTTTTAATTTTTAATTTTAGAAATGCAAATCTAATATGTCACTGCAGTTAGTTTATAGCGAATACAGAAGTCTTCCACAGGATTGCCATTTATTACAGATGCCTTTTTGCAGATTTCTGTAGATAGATGCAAACATAGATATCTGTATGTAGAATAAGTGTTTTGTGCAGATTGTAGTTGGAATACAATAAAACTCCATACAGATGAAACCTAGCAACGTGAAACCCAGAAGACTTGGACTGTACTAAAATGGCAACTTTGCAGGCTTGCACAGAACATTGACTGGTATAGCCATCTGGGTGACTGACTAGTGAAAGTAAGCAGAACCAACCTCCTATTGTACTGAAGACAAGAGAAATGTATTAATCAGAAAACAGAAGGTGCTTGCTTCTTGAGGCTTAAGTTTTGGCATGGCACTTATATTTACATGGCTTGAAGAAAAATGATTTCTTAAACTTAAGAGTGATTTGCAAGCAGATTTATAGCACGACAACTGGGAGGTTTGGAATTAGTCTTTATAAGGAATTTAATGGTAGTTGCCAGTTGAAGGGTACTATGTCCTAACACCCAAGAAGGCTCACTACATCTTATTTCTGTGGAGTACGTTTTTTTTATTGCTTTCCAGGCTCATTTTATGGTGTTCTGCACTCAGTAGTTCTTAGTGTAAATCTGTGTATTCTTATTAAAGGATTTTAATTTATGGAAAGGAAAGGAGATGACTGGCTGGCTGTGCTGATGTTTTCTGTAATTTTGTAGGATATCTTGGCACAAGTTCTACAGATACTGTTGAAATCAAAATTACTTGTAAGTACCTCTTGCTTTTTTTATGATTTGCTTAACAGTCAGCAAAATGTACTGATTAACATATGTTTGTTTATTTTGTTCCAGGTTTTGGAAGATGAAAATGCAAATGTTGATGAGGTGGAGCTAAAACCGGATACCTTAATAAAGCTGTATCTTGGTTATAAAAAGTAAGGGAAAAACTTCAGCTATATATTGTTGATAGTATGGATAGCACCTTGTTTGCTTTTGAAATTTTAGTAGAATTTGATATTCCTGAAATGAAAGCTCCTGAGTTCAAGTACCAATTCAGATATGGATCCCCATATCAGCTTCAGAGGATACAGATGGCTAATAAGGAAATAGAGAAGATTTCAGCTGTCTGACTTTGATTTTGTCACAGGGGCTGTCATGACCTTAATGTCTTCACATCTCCATTTTGTTCCTTGAATCTTATGTATTTTTTGCATAATTTATAAGGTGCATGACTTAAATGCAGTTGGCAAAATAATTCATATTCTGTGGTTGGCAGAGGCCAAACACTTAAATATTCATCCGGTGGAGATAACTTGAGAACATCAGCAGGCTCATTGTAGAACTTCAGAGTGTAAAGTGCAGTGATAACTTCAACATGATTCTCAGTAGTTTTTCTTACCTAATCAGTGCTGTTTTTAATGTTCGTGTATTTTAAGCTGCTCTCACCACTCTGGTGACTTTTTTACCATTCTAACCAGAGCATAGATATTTGGGGTTTCTGTTGTTTGGTTGTTCTTTTATTTAACTTGAATAATATTGTCTAAAACTTTCAGGAGTGCTGAAGTCCACTTTCCTTGTAAAATTCTGATAGTGTGGTGTGTAAGTTGTTTTGGTGAGATTTTTGTGGGTTTTTTTTATTATGAAAATAGGCTGATTCATCTGAACTTCTGTTTTTCTTTACAGCAAAAAGTTAAGGGTGAACATCAATGTGCCAATGAAAACTGAACAGAAGCAGGAGCAAGAAACTACACATAAAAATATAGAGGAAGATAGGAAACTACTGATTCAGGTGACTTACATTGCAGGATTCTGCTGCACAATGCACAAAAAATTTCAAGTTTATAATCCTTGAGTGAAGCAGACTGCAAAGAACTAAAAGCAGTGTAGCATTCCTACGTAATAGGCTGAAACTAAAAATATATTACAGTTTTAAAGTTCCTTCTGGTCTGTAATAGAAAGAGTAGAAAGACATACTGTGATACTGTTCTCCATATTGTTTTAACATGTTGGTATTTGGGTTCCATGGATGCATTTGCTCATGAGACTTCTGTTCTAACTGAAAATTGGAAATACTGGGTTAGATGAACTTGAAGGTATTTTTTGTCACTTCATTTAGAAGTACTTAAGAAGTAGAGGAGGCACAGAAAGTAGATCAAATAGGGTCGTTCAGTTGGAAGGGGCATTCAAAGACCCAAGTTCTAACTGCCTTTCTTCTTCAGGGCTAAGCAAAAGTTAATGCACATCAGTGAGATGTTGTCCAATTGCCCCGAGATTACAAATGTACTACTAAAAGAATGTCACAATAAGGTTAAATATATAAGTAATATTTCATGTTATACAAATTTTTTTTGTTAGTGGTGGTACTGTTATTCTACTGATCGTAGTAACATAGTTCTTAAAATTCCTATGTGAAAAACACTTGACTGTATTCTATGTAAAATCTGAGTTCTAAAAATCAATGTGAATAGTTGGCGCTCTGTAGGTGTAAGGGAATTGCTAAGTCAAGGCCTGAACCAATGATTGAGCCCCAAGTGAAGGGACACAGCCAGCCCTGAGAGCACAGGCAAAAGCAATTCAGGTTCCACCCCATCCCAAGCCTCATTTAAGGGCTGGCTGCCACAAGGGAATGATGTCTACCTGGAGATCCCTCCTTTTGGAGTATTTGGTGAGCCCTAATCCTTGGGGTGGGTAAGCAAATCTTTTTCTTTAACTGGATTGTGACCGTAACCCTTTTTTTGGGTAGGTTAGAGCTGGTTATCTGCCATTGTCTTTTCCTACAGTAGATAAGTTTATCCCCACCTCCTGCTGAAGTTGTGTTTACAATACTGCTGTGGTAGTAGATGTGATCCACTGAAGAAATAAAATAGCTTTATGCAGGACAAGCTCCCAAGCATATCTTTCTGACTTTGTTGTGCAGGCTGCTATTGTAAGAATCATGAAAATGAGGAAGGTTCTAAAACACCAGCAACTACTTGGAGAAGTGTTAACACAGCTGTCCTCAAGGTTCAAGCCACGCGTTCCAGTAATTAAGGTATGTGAGAATTATTGCTCTCTGTCCTCCTTTTGGTGAGGAGTATTAAATATATCTTTCTGAACTAAAAAAGGAAACTAAAAAAAACATCTTCAAAGGCATGGCATGGCATGGCAGTTGGCTTGGCAGTTCATGTGGGAGGGTGCTATCACTGTGGTTTCCAGCAGTGGCTGTAATCTGCTTGTGCAGAGTTCCACCATGGCATCCATCCAGAAGAAAGCCATGTCCTCTGTGTCTCCTGTGGCCTCTCGAGCCAGAGGGAGCAATGTGGCAACCCAGACAGAGCTCCTAAGGGAACAGGTGGCCATCCAGGTCTCAGGCACAGGGTCTGCTGAAGTCTTCAGCCAGTGGCTGTTGGTAGCAGTGAGTACCCCTGTGGAAAAAGTACCCAGGTTAAAGAGATGCTTAGCCTGTTGGTAGAGCTTTAGGAGGATGTGGGCAGGCTGAGGAGCATTAGGAAGTCAGAAAAGGAAATACGACTGAATCTGTTTCAGGAGTATGATTCTTCAGCCACTCAACACAAGAAACAAGGGTTTCTATACTCTCCCCACAGCAGAAAAAAAAAAAAAGGAGATCTAAGAGATGGAGAAATGAAAGCAAGTGTTTCTGCTTAGGGCAGCAGATGAACCTCCCTCCCTGTCTACCTCACTTTCCCAGATGCCCTTACACATTAGGGATAAGCTAATGACTGTGTGAATGAAGGTGCATCTGAGTTGGAGGGGTCACCTAGGGCAAATCAACCTGCTCCCTGTATCACAACAACTCCATTTAAAAAAAAAAAAAAAGGGCTTTTCCTGCAGATGATGGACTGTACAGATTTGTCATTTGGGAATGATGTGGTTGAGAGCCTATGGGTCAGGATTAAAGGACAAGCAAATAAAGAGATGTCATTGTGGGAGTTTGCTGTAGACCACCCAGCCAGTATGACAACACCAGTGAATTATTCTTTACAAAACTAAGAGAAGCCTCTAGATCAACTGTCCTAATCCCTCATGGGGGACTTCAGTTTCTCAGGCATTAACTGAGAACACCACACAGCTGATACAAACAGGTCCAGGAGGTTCCTAAAACACTTTGATAACAATTACCTGGTATGGGAGCTGATGAATAAAGGTGCCCTCCTAGATCTGTTGTTTGTGAACAGAGATCTCTTGAGTCAAGTGCTGCTTGGTGGCTATCTTCGTCATAGCGACCGTGAAGCAGTTGAATTTTAAACCCTTGGTGACTGGAGGAAAACTGCCACCAAAACTTCAACCCTGGATATGGGGAGAGCAAATTTCAGGCAGCTCAGGTAGTAGGTAGTAAAGTCCCCTGGGAAACTGCTTTTGAAGGCATTTGGCTTCATTAGTGCTGGTCATTTTCAGCTTGGCTGAACAGGGTTGTTCTTCTAGAGAACCTTCAGCAGGAAAAGAAAATGTATGATCACTAAAAGCAAGGTGAGGTAATATGGGAATATTACAGGGATACTGCATGCCTTTGTAGAGAGAGAATTCTTGTGGCTGAATCTTGGTTACAAGTTGAGGCTGACCAATACTAACTAAATATGTTACCTGCAAATGGGGAGAACCAGAGAGAACATTATTTTGTTGAGAATGGTCATCTTACAAATGGGGCATAGTTTAATGCAGTCTTGACCTTTGTCTTTAGCACTAACGATGAGCTCTGGCACTCCAGGTGCCCCAGTTGGGTTGGAGGTCTGTGACTGTAGGAACGATCAGAGTTTGCTGGAAGTTGAACATGTGTGAGGTTTTCTGCTCCACATGGATGCATATAAGCTTACTGGACCTGATGGAATTCATCCCAGGGTACTCAGAGTGCTGACTGATACCATCATGAGACCTGTCTCAATTATTTTCCAACAGTCTTAAGAATCTGGAGAGGTCTCAGTTGACTAGAAGCTGGCAAACATTCCAATTTTCAGGAATGGCAAGGAAGAAGATTCTGGCAGTTGTAGGCCTGTTAGTCTCACTTCAGTGACTGGTAAAATTATGGAGGAAATTATGCTGGGAATTAATGAAAAACACATGAAGAACAATGTCATCATTGGTCACAGCCAACATAAGTTCATAAGGGAAACGTCATACAAGGAAATTTAGTTAAACAGGACAAGGTCACCCATCTGGCTGACAAAGAGAAGCTGGTTGATGTTATCTTTTTAGATTTCAGTAAAATTTTTGATACTGTTTCTCAACAGTATGCTGTACAAAGTGTCCAGCATACAGCTAGACAAAAACAATGTGATATGTGAGAATTGGTTGACAGGTTGGGCCCAAATGGTATCACTTCAGTGACAAACAATCACAAGTGGACTTCCCCAGGGCTCCATTTTAGGGCAAGTTCTCTTTAATGTTTTCATAAATGACTTGGATGGTAGAACAAGAAGATGTTTTGAGCAAGTTTGCTGGTGGTACTAAATTGGAAGAAGCTGTTTCCTCTGTTGAGGATGGAGAGGCATTGCAGAGAAAATTAGATAGCTGGGTAACCACCTACTGCCTGAAGTTTAGTAAGAGCAAGTACTGGATTCTGCACCAAGGAAGGGGCAACCCTGGCTATTCATACAGATGCAGGGATGAGATGCTGGAGGGCAGCCCTGCTGAGAGGGATTTGAGGGTCTTGGTTGACAGCAGTTGAACAGTGTGCCCAGGCAGCCAGGAAGGGGCCAACCATATACTGGGGTGCATCAAGAGCAACATTGCTAGCCAGTCAAAGGAAGTGATTTGCCCTGTTCTGTACTGCACTGGTGCAGCCTTACCTTGAGTACTGGTCTAGTATTAAATGGGGAGGTTGGTGGCCCTGCCTGTGTGGCAGGGCAGTTGAAGATTCATGATCCTTCAGGTCCCTTCCAACCTTGGGGATTCTTTGAGGAGCTGAAGGTTTGTTAAGCGTGGATGTGAGGGGAGACCTCATCATGACTACAGCTTCCTCACAAAGGGAAGCAGCGGAAAAGGCACTGATCACTTCTCTGGTGACCAGCAATAGAACCTGAGGAGAACAGCATGAAGCTGTGATGGGACATTCAGGTTGGGTATCAGGTGAAGTTTCTTCACTAAAGAGATGGTTGGGCACTGGAACAGCCTTACCAGGGAAGTGGTAACAGCACTGAGTTTTCCAGAGTTCAGAAGTGTCTGGACAGTGCTCTCAGACATATGGTCTGACTTTTTTTTTTTGGGTTGTCCTGTGTGGAGCCAGGAGTTGGACCTGATGATCCATAAGGGTCTCTTCCAACATGGGATGTTCTATGATTCTAAAAAGATGAAATGGGTAGAAACAGATTTTCAAAGTTGTAACTAAGCAGTAAATATTTTAAGCAGAAAAATGCAGATTTCTTTTACGACTTCTCAAACTGTCGTAGTTTTGCATCAACGCCAGCATGCAGTAGCCCCTCTTCCATGCCTACCCACTTGCTCTAACAGTTGTGCAAGTTCCACCTCTTTGCAGGCCTGGTTAATGTATTAGTTTTCCTAATCTCCTCAAGAATCAAAGTGTTGGGGGGGAAGGGATTATGGTTTAATTATGGTTTCATGATTAGTTGGTTTAGCATTGTCAAGGATGGTTTTTTCCATCCTGGAGGGACAGGTGGAGCAAGGAACAGACAGTGGAGAGCCATTGCCAAACCAGGCACCGATGCTGAAAGAGATGCATACAGACAAGTTATTCTAGGCAACTAGTTACTACAGTAGCAATGTTCAGTAAACACTGAGCAAACAAGAAGTTAAACAGGTGCAGTCTTACTAAGTTGCTCAGCAGTGAGTAGAATAGTGAATTGATCTCCAAGTCACTACCATGAATGGCACAAGTAAGCATAACTCAGTTTAGTGGAGACTCCTCTTTTTGGCTGTGGTCAGAAACAGGAGAGTGAATTGCCTTTGTCTGTGCTTGTAGCCTACTGCCATCCTCTACTTGGCATATGTTTCAGTGGCCAGAATTGTTCAAAGCTTGTAGTAACCAGAAGCATTCTGCCAGTCTCTCTCCACTTACCTTTGTTTCTCCCCATAGAAATGCATTGATATCTTGATTGAGAAGGAGTACTTGGAACGTGTCGATGGTGAGAAGGACACCTACAGTTACTTGGCTTAATGTTTTTATTAGCAATTTTCTGACTGTGTGACACTCGGCAAATAGGTATGTGATGGAAAGAATGAAAGCAACGGAACTTCATAGCAGCCACCCTGCTGCCATTTGGACCTCCCTTTTTAATAACTGAGACCAGGACTCCCCATCAGCCAGTCTCAGATTTACATCAGAACTGCTCAGGATTGATACATTTCAAGTATGTAAATATGGACACCAATGCCATTTAACCTAATTTAAGAACAGAGAGGAATCAGACCCTTCTCATTTAAGGGTTGCATGCTACTGCATTTAAATCAATACATTGGCTATATGGTAAACAGCTGCCATCACTGGCAGCACTTACAAATGTTGGCAGCACTTTGAGAGCAAGTCTGAATGGACCCATGTGTAATCTGCTATGGAAAAACCATTTGTATAGTGTGTTTCATTTTTTAATGTGTGATAAATAAAAAAAAAAAGTTAAAAGATTTCTGTACAAGTTGCATTTGGTTTTATTAAGTTTCATGATTTCTAAATGTAAATAAAAGGTATAATAATGGTTATGAAAGCTACAGAAATTTGTTTTGCTTTTCCTCCTTTCCTGGTGACTTAAAGTATGCTGTTCTCTGAAGAAATTAACTTTTATCTGTAATCAAACATAAATGTTATTTCTTTTTAAGAGGAAATGTGTTTTGAAAAAGACGACAATCGTGCTCATTTCACAAGAGAGAGCAGAACAGTGGATAGGTGAAATACATGCAGACATCCCTGGTCATCTGAAATTTGACCTTCTTTTTAATACATCATGTCACTCTTCCCCTGGTCTCCCACAGTCTTCTGGAAAAGCTGGCAGGCCAGGGCCTGGACATGCATGTGTGCTGCAGGATAAAGAAGTGGCTGGAGGGCTGGGAACAGAGTTTTGGTGAATGGAGTTATTTCCATCTGGGGCCTGGTCACGAGTGGTATTCCTCAGCTGTTGGGTCCTGTTTAACATTTTTATTGGTGATCTGGATGAGGGAGTTCATACACCCTCTGTAAGAACAAGAAGTTGGGATCAGGATTGATGAGCTGAGGCCAAGGGGATGAAGTTCAACAAGATGGCGTGCTGGATCCTGCACTTAAGTCACAGCAACCCCAGGCAGTGCCTACAGGTTGATGTGGGGGTGTTTTTCAATACTTGGTTGAATGCAAGCAAGTATTGTGCGCAGAGGGCTGAGAAGGCCAGTAGCATCCTGGCTTTTATCAGAAATAGCGTAGTTGCAGGACCAGGGAGGTGAGCATCTTGGTGTACTCAGCCTCATGATGTGTCCAGTTTTGGGCCCCTCAATACAAGAAGGGCAACGAAGTTGGTGAAGGCACTGAAACACGAGTCTTAAGGGGAGCAGCTGAGGGAAGTGGGATCATTTAGTTTCTTCTGAGGAGGGACTTCAGAATTGTTGCTCTCTACAACTCCCTGAACGGTGTGTGTGTGATGAGGTGGGGGTTGGCCTTTTCTCTTGCTTAGTGATAGGACTAGAGAGAAGGGCCTTAGGGGTCAGTTGGATATTAGGAAAAGCTTCTCTAAAGGAGTGGTCAGGCACTGGAACAGGCTGCCAGTGAAGTAGTTGAGTTACTGTCCCTGGAGTTGTTTGAAGAATGTGTGGGTGTGGTACTTAGGGACATGGTTTAGTGGGCAATATTGGCAGTAGTTGAACTGGATAATATTGGGAATCTTTTCCAGCCTCTATGATTCCCTAAGTACTGCCTTGAATAAGGTTAAGGCTGCCCATTTCATTGAACAGAAAACTGTGTGTTCCTAAAGACTAACTCTTACTAAATAGTACTTGTGATGAGAATAAAATATGAGTGTTGCTATACATGTATATACATGATTGACCAAGTTTTATTCCATCTTATCACAATGTTGTGTGTTCAACATATGTATGTGAGGTAAATACTAGTTTTCTACATGTTACAAACAAAAAGCTGCCTTTCCAGAAAAGCTGCCTTTCCAGTTCTCTCTTATCTTTTTTGTCCTTGATGGTGAAAGGACTTCTGCTTCTGCATCCAAACAACTTATTCACCTTTAGACATGGTGGCTTCCCATTTTTCTGAGAGAAAAGCTGTTTTACGGTTACAGGCTCCGATCTATAGAGAGATTTGATTTTTCACAAAGTTCCAGCTTGAACTGGGGAGTATTAGATGTGATCCTAACATACTTTAAAAATTGAGAAAGTATCTTATTGCACTTGAGCTTCTGCAAGCTTGTTCTTCCTGTACTGAAAGAACTTTAACCACGCAGGCAGTCTTGGTACAATTAATAGAAACACTTTGTTGTTCATTTTTTGAAATGCCTTCTGAAGATTTTAAGATGAGCTTTGTAGAAGAAAGGAGTAGTAGCATGGTGCTAAAGAGGCATTAAAAATGATAATCACCTGTGGAAGCCCAGAACTACAGTACTGCAAGCTGCCCCTCAAAGCCATCACTGGTTAAAGCAGGATTGCTTAGTATAGTTTATATACTGTATTGTGCAGAGCTCTTCTTAAATAGCACTTGCTGTCAACTTAGCTCTATGTAACAGATGTACTTTATCTAAGCAGGGAGGAATTAACTTCTGCAAAAGGAGATAAGTTGTCTTGTTGGGTTACTCGTCACAAATGACCAGAGAAAGGAAAGCCACCCCTTCACAACTTAACACACTCCTCAACAAGTCAAGGCCAGTGAGTGGTTCAGTGTCTGGGTGAAGATCAGTGACAAGTGCAGGTGCCAATACTCTATAATATCTTCATAAATGGCACTGACAGTGGGGTCAAGCAAAACCTCAGCAAGTTCACTGATGACACCAAATGGTGGGATCAACACACCAGAAGGACAGGATGCCATCCAGAGGGACAGAAACAAGCTTGAGCAGTGGGCACAGGTGAACCACATGAGGTTCAATAAACCCAAATGCAAGGTCTTGCACCTGGGTTGAGGCAACCCTCACTACCAATGGGGGATGAAAGGGTTGAGCACAGCCCTGCTGAAAAGGACCTGGGGATAATGGTGGATGGGAAGCTGGACATGAGCCAACAGTGTGCCCTCACAGGCCAGAAAGCCAACCCTATCCTGGGTTGCATCAGAAGCTGATCCTGCCCCTCTTCTCTGTACTGGTGAGGCCCCAGCTGGAGTACTGCATCCAGATTTGGAGCTCTCAGTACAGGAGAGATATGGATTTGTGGCTGTGTATATAGAGAATGGACACAAAAAGGATTCCAGAGATGGAACACCTCTCCTACAAGGACAGGCTGAGAGAGCTGGGGCTTGAGCCTGGTGAAGAGAAGGCTGCAAGGTGACCTGATAGCAGCCTTTCAATATCTGAAGGGCAGCTACAGGAAAGAAGGGAACAGGACTCCAGCAGTGCAATAGCGCACTCTAAACAAGTTTAGATTGAAATTTCATAACATAAGAGAGGAATCTGTATCACTAGAAGCAAAATAGTTGTTGCTTACAGCTAAGCAATACAAAGGATACAACAGAAATGGTCTCAGACCGGTTTGATTCAAGTGAGGTACGTACATAATTAGTCATGTTATTCTGTTTGCAGCTTGAGAGATACCCCCCATGCAGGGTGGCAGTTACTGGAGTCACCATTACCTGTTCCCTTACCATGTGATACAAATGGAATCTTGTCTGTGTTATTTCTATAGAGTGAAGTGAGTAGACAAAATCATGGCACCTATTTGGGAAGCTGCATATTAAGCTAGTACACAGGTAGAAGGAAAGCTTTTAAGTATGTTACTCATCTTAAACTTGGCATTAACACCTGTAGCTTCATATATCATTACAACTACCTACTTCCTCCCAGCCTCCCTTCCACTTTTTTTTTTGAGTACACTCCCTCCATTTTTAAATCCATCTGCTATCAACTGACCCCACATTAGGACTGATAAGGCAGAGCAGAAGTAGAAGAATAACAATTACAGTTGAACTGAACTAGGCAAGTATGTACTGCCTTTATTTAGAAATTAAGTGTTGTGAACTGGCTAAAACAGAATTTCAACTCCATTCCCATAAAAATGAAGAAGTTCAAGTATCATTTATTCAAGATTGAAAAATGCACCACACCACATTATTGCAAAAGGTCATAGGTACAAAACACTGCAGCTGGTGAGAAGGCAATAAAAAGTTTTTTTTTTTTAAATTGGTTGCTATAAATTACTGTTACAGTACTTTGCAAACACAGAATTTCAAATAGCTTTTTTTTTTTTAATTGCCCACAGTACTAGATTTTCCTGAAGATAAGGCAGCTGTATGCTTATAAGAAGAGGTAGCTGGTGTCAAGGGATTTCCATTTCTCTTTCTATACCCACATACTTAAGGGCATCAGCTTGGCTATATCTGAAATAAAAATAAGAACAAAAATAAAAACTGGTATCACTGGAGCAGTAGCATGGAGCATTTCAGCTTCATTGTTCTGACATAACACAGCACAGTCTGGAATGCTTTCTGCTTTCCCATAGTTTCCTCACCACTGAAGCTTTTACTTCCTGTGTAAATTTGCAAAGGCAGAACAATACTGAACATTCAAGAAATGCTATTAGAGGAGCTTGATCCAAAAGGGAGTAAGTAGTCCGTAAAGTTTCACACTTTCTGTACTGTACTCACTGCTAAAGTTCAATTAATTGCATTTCTCAAAATTGACTTACATAATATTGTTTTCACTAGACAGGTAAGTTCTCCTCTAGCAAGATTATCTTAGCAAGCACTTCTCTGTAATAAAACAAGCTTTCCTTACCCATTTCTGAATAATAGTAGAAACAACCTGCACTGCTTATCTAAGGAAGTGCCAGAGTACCAGAGGAAGTTTTATGCTCATCTGCACAGAAACATTATGTAAGTCTGTCTCCCTTCTTAAGTTACATTTCTTTTATTGATACAAGCCACCTTTCCAAGTTCACAAGGCTCTTAGCCAAATGCTTTTCTCAATTAAAAAAAAATAAAATAGCCAGAGGACTGCCTGTCACTGCTCACAGGTGCTGAGACCTGAAGTTATCAGGAAGCACGTACAGTAACTCATTTGGATCTGCTTAGAAATACAGGTAACTAATTGAACATGTCATAAAAAGAAGTTAGAGGAAACATCTACCAACCTGTAGTCAAAGAAAAGTTCTTCACCAGTCTGAATGGCTCTTTTAGCAAATATTCCTATTCTGTGATCACCATTAACCATCATAACTGTTAAAAAGAAACAAACTCATGTTAAGGTAAATACTGATAAAATGCATATTTACATATCCCACAACACTTTATACAGTGTTAAATGAAAGCTAAATATAAAACATACCTTTTGCATAGCAGTTGGGATTTACTGAATGGTTTGCAAATCTAATCTTGTTTCCCTTGCGTGTTGCATCAACCACAAAATCTAGGAGTAAAAACCATAAGCGATAGGAAGGTCATCTACAAACAGTCTCTTTGTAATTGTTTAATGATTAATATGCTTAGATTGTAGCAGCTGGAAAAGACAACCGCTCAACTTTCTACACTGAAGAGGTGGCACATCTTTATATAGCAGCTTTGTTATTCTGCAGCTCAGAACGATCC